CTAGTCATGGTGGTGTGCACTTGTAGTCTGAGCTATTCAGGAGACTGAGGCAAGAACATGGCTTGAGCTCAAGAATTCAAGACCAACCTGGACAATACAGCGGGGGAATATTTAAACATTGTTTGAATTCTTCTCTCTCTTTTCTTTTTTTCTTTTTCTTTTTTTTTGTTGATACTTGGGATTGAACCCAAGGGCTTAATGTTCTGCTACTGAGCTATATCTCCAGCATGTTGTGTGTGTTCTGATTATTACACCACCTGGCTGTTCGCTGTCTCTCCTCCTCTCCTTGGGCTTCTTTACTCCCTACGGTACATCAATGTGTCAATTAATAACCCTATCAAGGTCTCTAAGGGCTCAAGTGAAAGGAAGAGTGGCAATTCTCTCGCTTTAATCCAAAAGCTAGACATGACTGAGCTTAGTGAAACAGGTATGTTGGAAGCTGAGATAGGCTGAAAGCTAGGCCTCTGGTGCCAGTTTGCCAAGTTGTGAATGCAAAGGGAAAGTTCTTGAAGAAAGTTAAAAGTGCTTCTCTAGTGATGACACAAATTACGGGAAACCAAAACAGTCTTATTACTGATAGAGTTGCGGTAGTTGGGTAGAAGATCAAACTAGTCACAACATGCCCTGAAATCAAAAGTTTAACTCAGAGCAAGGCCCTAATTCTTTTCAATTCCATGAAGGCTCAGAGAAGTGAGAAACCTGCAAAAGAAGTCTGAAGCTGGCAGAGGTTGGCTCGTGAGGTTGAAGGAAAGAATCCATCTCTGTAATACAGAAGTGTAAGGCAAAGCAGTGCCTTATACTGAAGTGCCTTTACACAAAGCAGGTGATGGTATAGAAACTGCAGAGTTATCAAAAAGAACTAGCTAATCAATGAGATTGGTTACCCTCAACAGCAGATTTTCAATGTAGACAAAACAGCCTTATACTGGAAGAAGTATTCTAGAATTTCTACAGATAAAGAGAAGCCAATGCCTGGTTTCAAAGGACAGTCTGATTCTCTTGTTAGGGGCCAATTGAGCCGGTGACTCAAAATGGAAGCCAATGCTTATTTATCATTCTGAAAATTCTAGGGCTCTTATTGGGAGGCTGACGCAGGAGGACTGCAAGTTTGAGGGCTGTCTGGGCAATTTAGTGAGACCTTGTCTCAAAATAAAAAATAAAAAGGGGCTGGGGATGTAGCTCAGTACAAAGGTCCTGGGTTCAATCTCCACTGCCAGGAAAAAAAAAAGCCATACTAAATACAAAGCTTAGATGACAGCACCTCTGTTTACAACATGGCTCATGCACATGTTAAGCCCACTGCTGAGACCTGCTGCTCAGAACAAGACTCCTCTCAGACACTAGCTCATCAACAACACACCTGATTACCCCACAGCTCTGATGGAGTAAAATGAGATAGCTGACACCACATCCACTCTGGAACCCATAAACCAAGGAGCAATTTTGATTTTTCACATCATATCACTGACGCCATGATTCCTGGCAATTCCTGGGATGAATCTGGGCAAAGTAAATGAAAAGTCTTCATCATTCTAGATGCCATAACAACCTGTTGTGATTCACAGGGGAAGGCAAAATATCAACATCAAGAGAACTTGAAAAGAACTTGATTCCAGCCCTCATTGATGACTGAGGGACTCACAGCTTGAGTGGAGGAGAGAGCTGCTGAGTGGTGGACAAGCAAGGGAGCCAGTGTTAGAAGTGGAGCTTGGAGTTGGTGACTGAATGGATGCGGTCTCGTGACACAGCTTTAGCAGACGAGGAGCTGTTTCTTATGGGTGAGCACAGAAAACAGTTCCTCGAGATGGATTCACCCGGGTGAAGATGCTGTGAACATTGTTAGATGACAACAAAGGATTTAAGAGTAATACATAAACCTAGTTGATAAAGCAATGGCAGGGTTTAAAGGGACTGATTCCAATTTTGAAAGTTCAACTGTGAGTAAAATGCTATCAAAGAGCATTGCATGGTACAGAGAAATCGCTCTTGAAAGAAAAGCAATCGATGGAGCAAACTACATGGTTGTCTTCTTTCAAGAAATTGCTGCCGACACCCCAACCTTCAGCAACCACCCTATCAGTCAGCAGTCATCGACCTCTAGGTAAGAACCCCACCAGCAAAAAGATTATCACTTGCTAAAGGCTCAGATGATTGTCAGTATTTTTTTAAGCAATAAAGAACCTTTAAATTAAGCTACACACATTTTTTAGATGTAATTCTATTACACACTTAGACCACAGCTGAGTATAAACATAACTTTTATGTTTACTAGGAAACCAAAAAAGTGACGTGACTGGTTTTATTGCCATATCTGCTTTGGTACGGAGGTCTGGAACTGAACACACAGTATCTTCAAGGTGTGCCTGCATATTTTTAGCCTCAAAGCTCTTTAAACTCTTCCATTTATTCTCTCAGAGCCAACATGTAATGTAGCTTCTAGTAAGGTATAAGGTAGGGAATGTCTTTTCTAGGGTGGATAAGGAAGTTGGTTATGCCTGATGGGAAGAAGCAAGACCCCTGTTGGTATACAGCACTGGCTTCTCCCCTTCCTGTGCCAGAAATGTGACAGGCCTACAGCATTGGCCCAACTTCCTTCCCTGCAGACAGCCCCAGTGCTTGCTCCAAATGCACCGGAGACTGAACTTTGTGGGGATAGAGGCTTTGAGATCTACTTATCTTCATAAACAGATACCACAAGCAGCAAATCAGCTAGCATTTAACCAACACATTTTTATTAAATGAATGTTATCATCCTAAAGGAAACAACACGAGCAGAATGGGACCCCACTCATGGTCATACAGGTAATAAGTGGCACTTCCATGGCTTTACTCTTAGCCCACCTATGAGCTCTCTTAATGGCTATAAATGTGATACTATAAATGAAACATAAAAGAGAGAAAGACAGTAGGAAGATCTGAAGTAAAAGAATTCTGAAAATGGAATCCAGTCTAAACAGAGTCCCCGCTGCCTGGGTTGAGTAATCTATAAGACTGTTAGGCCAGGTGGCCTGCCAAACTAAAAAAGCAGTGACTGGACTCCTCTATTAGGGCAAAAAGAAGACACACCACGGAAGTTACTGCTACAGAAGAAAAACATTTTAACATGGGTATCTTATGGTGATAATAAAACTAAAATAAAAACCTCTATCAACAAGTAAGGCAAAGACATGAAAAGATGCTCAAGTTTTACCAAGTAGGAAATGAGCAAGTAAAAAATAATAAAGTTTGATTTTGGTTTTGGATTTTAAAAAATGTCAGCACATACACAGAAAATATCTGAAGGAATATAATTTAAACCGTTACTAGAAATTAATTCTTGGGGACAAAATTATGATAAAATAACAGGAGAATTTACTCTATAGGTTATGGGGAGAGAGGACTTTCTACAATTTATATTTTTAAATGTCTGCATTTTTAAAATGAACATATACTATCTTTGTCATCAGAAAAATAAAAAATATAAAAACAAAATGAAACTGAAAACATTTTCTTTATGTTTAAAAAAAGTCAAAGAGAAGTCATATTCAGTGATCCAGAGTGGCACTGGAAAAGCCCTCTGTGAAGCAGGGGCGCCACCTGGGCTCTGTGAAGCACCACCAGACACGAGGGTGGATGATCTCCAAACTTGCCCGACTCCTAAGCCTGAGCATTCGACTTTCAGTATTGTATACTGAAGACCTGCTGCCAACAGGTCTGCGAAGTTTTGACCTAAAATATGTGTAAACAATTGATTTCTGTATGTTCCTCAAGGGCTGGTGCAGGTGCCTGGGGAGAGCAACAGACAGGCTCTGTCCCTCGTGACTCCTGCGTGCAGGACTCTGGTGGCCAGCTGCTGTGAGCAGAGGGTCTGCTGCTCTGAGGAGCTGCCTGGGTACAAGCACGACGCTTTCTGTGGAAGGTTCCTCTGTTCAAGACGGCCCAGGCAGCAAGAAGCCTTCCATTCCCCACTCATGGCCAGCCTCTGGGAATCATGGGCCACTATCCAGGAGCAGGAGACTGAGACCACCAGAGACCGCTTCCACATGAAGGACAAGGTGAGTCTGAGCATTAGAAATAGGTCAATGATTTATTTATTTATGTTTTCAGACAGGTTCTTGCTATGCAGTTCAGGCTGGCCTTGAACTTCCTGTGATCTTCCTGCCTTTGCCTCCTGTAGGCTGAGATTACTGGCCTGCACCACAACACTCAGCCTTGGTCAATGATTTTGTAAAGCAACCTTCTCTAAAGAGGAGGCTTTTCTTTCCCTTCCTTTTGTCTTCTTGGAGAAAGGATCTTACCATGTACTCCACGCTGGCCTTCAACTCACTATGTAGCCCAAATTGGCCTCAAATTTGTAGTGATCTTCCTGCCTCAGCCTCCAGAGTGCTGGGATTACAGGTGTGCACCACCATGCCCGGCTGAGGGTATTTTTGTTTACAAAATTCTTCTCTAAGGGCTTTTTAAATTCTAGTTTTGTCAAAGAGAAAAATCTGACTTCAGAAGATATAAATGAACGGTTTCAATATTTGAGCTAACATGCCTATACCCTTTAGAGTGAAAAAATGACTTGGAAATGTTTTTTGCTTGGCTACGTATTATCTGTAATGATCAAGGAAAATCTTTGAAATGAAATTCCTTTCCCTGTTTGTTTATTCTTTCTGCTTTTCACAGTCACATCCTCATCTGGATTCTTATTGGGTGGAAACTAATATGGCGTTTTCTGTTTACTACACCAGCGCTTCCTTACTGAGGTGAGGCAGCCAAGAGCATTTATACAATTCTGCCTCAAAACCAGCAGGGGGAGCTCATCCACACAAGACTCTGAAGCCATCTACAGGGATGGTGGGAAGTATAATTCAACTTTTTTCAGTGACAGTGGCCTTTCTGCATGTGGGTGAATCACCATACAACAAGCAACAGGTTCTTGACAATGATGAAGAGCCCAGGGAAGTGTGTTAGAGACAGCCCAACTGTCACCACTGCAGGGCACTGCCCGCAGCAGGTGTGTACTCTGCCCGTACCTGTTTTTCAAGGCTTGGCTTGCTAAGCTGTACAGTTTGAGGTCCAGCGAGTCTGGTCCCTGGAGTGGCTATCACAATGCTGGTGAGCTGGGCCATGGGGAACGTTTTGGCTATGGTTGCGGTCTGCCCATTGACGACCCGGACAGGGTGGATGGAATTCTGGGACGTGGGGAGGGTTGTGGGGGTAAACTTGGTCAGCATGACAGGCCTCTGGATAAGTTGAGGAGCTGCAAGCATGGGAGGAGGCGCTGGGGCGATAGGAATGTTATTCTGGGCCACAGGCTTGGGTCGAACCTATTGGGGAGAGAAAGAGTAATTACTGTATTACTTAAAATTTCTTAATTCTTGTAAGTCTATAACATGGTGTATCTTCCACACACTATATATGTGAAATAGTATTTAATATACTTATTAATATTCATTTAGTATTAATTCTACAGATTTCAAGACATATAATGGGACAAAAGACTCTTCAGCACGAAGGGAATCCAAATGTTAACTTGAATTAGTACCTCCAGGTCTAGCACCTCAACTCTCCCTTGTGTACCAGGCACCTCTTCAGGCAGCGGTTAAGAGCCTGATGCAGTGTTCCCACCCAAAACCTGGTGCCCATAATGTTGACAGTGTTGCCAATGGCTTTAATTCACATTCTAAATTTCTACATATTTACAGCGACAGTTTACCCTCTAACTCTGGCCCTCGATCTCCCTGTTCTTGGCTTCTCCTTCTCTGTCTCATCTGTAGATTTACTCTTCCTCTGCCCAGTCTTAAATGTGAGTATTTCTCAGGATTCTGTCTTAGGACGACCCCTCCCTTCCCACTGGGCTTAGTCTTCCTGGGAGCTCTTACCCAACCCATAGCTTCAGTTAGAATCTGTGTACTGAAGCCTTCGAGGTCTTCTCAGGACGAGACATTTCCTGAACTTCACCAGCTGTCAGACATATCTACTTAGAAATCTCACAAGAAGTTCAAAATCAACGTATCTCAAACACACCAATTTCTTCCTCTTTTAATCACATCAATAGCCTTTCTCTTTCCTTTTCTTTCTCCCCTTCTTTGTTTCTTTTTTTTTTTCTGTACTGGGAATTGAACCCAGGGCCTCTGCACTGAGCTACATCCCCAGGCTTTTTTATCTTTTATTTTGAGACAGGGTCTCAGCTAATTGTTAAATTGCTCAGGCTGGGCTGAAACTTGGAATCCTCCTACCTCAGCCTTCTACAATGCTGAGATTAAAGGATTACGCCATCACACCTGGCTTAGTTTTTTCTTGATGAATAAACTTCAGAAGTAATTTTTTTTTTCTTTTCTTTCTTTTTCCTTTTGGCTTTTGAGACAGGGTCTCACTATAGTTCAGATTGGCCTTGAACTTACTATGTAGCCCAGGGTGGCCTCAAACTCATGGTGATCCTCCTGCCTCAGTCTCCCAAGTGCTAAGATTACAGGCATGCACCTCCATGCTCAGCTCTCCACCTCTACCTTTCTATACTTTTCAAATCTCTTTCATTCTATCCTCATTGCTACAATACTAGCTTATATATGGCTTACTGAAACCATGCTGAGTAATACTTAGCTGGGGATAGTGGCCTGGGTTCAATCACCAGCAATGCAACCACAATGGCAACCCCCCCATTATAAAAACTAAAACGAACCAAACAAACAACTATGTTTAAGCATATAGGATCAAAGCTGGGAGTGGTAGTATATGTCTGTAAACTCAGCACTGGGAGGCAGAGGCAGGAGGATTGAGAATTCAAGGATAGCCTGAGCTATATAGCAAATTCAAGGGCTACACATCAAGACACCCTCTCAAAAACAAAAACAAAAACAAATAAAAACGGTGTCCAATCTTGCCTAGGTTCAAAAATCCTGTTTCTAACACTTATAAGCATGTAACCTCGGGGAACATATCTGATCTAAACCAGTATTTTTATTTTTATTATTAATTTTTTTCTTTTTAAGCCAGTATTCTTAAAACCCTATGGCTAAAATCCTTCTGCCTATGCATGAGAATTCGATCCTTGGTTAACTTTCTAGCTCTTTTCTCCCAGAAACCCAGTAAAGGTAAGAATGTTATAGGCACACATGAGAAAAACTTGTTATTGCTAAGTCAACAAGAGGTCACTAAATTGAATCTGAATGGGGAGAACCATAAAAACTTGACCGGATACCATACTTCCGGGCCTCCCTAAGTGAGGTGACTGCTGTAACTTGGGCATGCCCACCGTGGAGATCCTAAATGTCATGCTTAAAGACCTGTCACAGTATATATGGGGTTCTGTAGTTCAGTATATATGGGGCTTCTATGGATGCCTGACTCTCCCACTGTCCTGGATAAAGATCTCATTTCCTTGAACCCAAGGTGTCCCTGGACAGCTATAGAGACTGCTGAGAGGGCTGCTATGGGGACTCCTACTGAAGAAAGATGCCTGATGCTGTCTTCCTGGCAAGCTGTGGTTTCTGTTCTGTATTATTTCCAAGTAGACTGATGGCAAGTGTGGCCCATGATAGTCTTGTGAGCCTGACGATTTAGCTTAACTTAAAATGGCCTTGTGGGGATGTATGTCTATAAAACAAAAATTTTATGAAATGAAGTATATGGCATGGACTATCAAGCTCCTAAATTGATTTCACAGCCTACTAATGGGTCCTGACCCATTTTTAGAAAATCATGGACTAAGCCTAAGATTCCTTATCTAAAAAAAAGCCTACTTTCATAAGGTTATTTCCAGGGTTCAAACGGACAAGCCATGTGAAGTCCCAAGCCTAGCATGGTATCTGGTATACAGCAAGGTTCTCCAAACCCTAGCTACGATCGGCAATGCCCTACCTGTTCTTCTTGCCCACAGTCTTGACCATCCCTAACCTATTCTTTGCATGGGGGAAAGATGGAATTTGTAAAGTGTAGGTCTGGCCAGGTCGAGCCCTTGCTTGGAAATGCTGTATAGTCTCGAAGGGTGCACAGGCTCCAGGCTCAGTGCTCTTCTCCAGTCTCATCTCTGCAGCCAGCCAGGGCTGCCACATGGGCTCTGGACTCAGGCACAGCAAATCTCTCTTGGTTCCTGAACTAGCAACCATCTCTCCACTCCAGACATGGAGGCTCTGTCTTCTATGGTGGAGTTTTGTTTCTCCCCACAAACTTTGTCAGGCTAACTTTTCTAGGCTTTTGGGTCTCAGACTGAATGCCAACTTTTCAATGAAATCTTGCGAAAACTGTCTCTAATACTCTAAAGAATAGGCCACGTGTCCTCCCCAGTCTCCTCTGTACACTGCACAACGGGCACTGTAACTGCCTCGGGTGCTGAGGGCAGGGAGTCACCTGACACAGCCACAGTGCTTAGTATGTAAGGTTTTCATTAAAGATGTATCTGAGAAATGACTGACATCATCATTATCTCCCACTGTTCATCCCTCCCAAGAAGCTATAAATTGCACCAGTAAGCCCCCAAATCCTTTCCCTTTTCTCTCTGCCTGAAACCTAGGACTGCAGATAGTAACTCTCAGCCCTTCTACTGAGCAAATCAACATCCTTCACCTCCAGACAAGGACAATCCTGGTATACTGCCTTGAGAATGGTGAGGGTCAGCCTAAGTGCCAGAAGCACACTCAGGAAAATGGACATGAGCCAACTGCCTGGCCTGGGGAGAAGTTCCCTATACAGACCTTTCCATGAACCTTTGAGAGCAAGGTTTACCTTTAAGCATCCTGTTCAATATCACAACTTTCCACAGCAGAACTGAGTGGTTTCTATTGGTTAGTTTGGCTGTTGTTTTCTTCTCTATTCTTTTTGGTAACCAAGAAAGAAATGAAAAGTGGTAATTGCATTCTTTCCCGACTCCCAGGCAGGTTCTTCCAGCAAGTTAACCTTGTCAGAGTTATAATGTTGTTACTGTGATTGCTTTACATTTAAGAAACTCTTTTTTCCTTCACTTCCCTCTGCTACTGCCTTTGGACACTTGCTAACAAACCATGATGATAGAATAAGCTTTTCTTCATTGAAGAGAAATCGGTGAGCAGAATCTAGCTAACTGGGCTCGGAATACAGCTGAACTGGTGAGCCTGCTTACTACAGGCTGCCCTGAAAAGGCCCGCAAGGATTTCTGTCCCGATTACCCACCTCAAGGCTTCTCTTTGGTTTACTCACCTGTGGAAGAAAGTTTGGACGTGGAGTGAGTCTAGGAGGGGGTATAAACTGTGGAACTTTGATGGGCTGAGGAGGTGTTGCCTGAACCTGCTAAACAAATGGGAAGGGAAGTCAGAGGGAGGATAATTCACTAGCAAAGGTAAACATTCTTACATTATTTTCAGTATTCCAGTATCTTCCTCATCAGACCACACTGTCTCCACACTTTCACTGTGGAGTTAACCACTAGAATTAATACAGCATTTGGAACTTTTCCCCTCCCACCTGCAGGCTTTGCTCCATAAACCAACCACACTTTGAACCAGTCACACTTGTTCCCTCATACAGCTGGCTTAGCAATCTTGGACTATTTCCTCTGACACCCTAGAACTCTTGCACTTACATATTTTAAAAGCCAAGACAGGATGCAGAGTAAAATCAAACTTGTGCCTGGCTATAAAGGCTTTCTCCTGAGCTAGGTGCTTTACCCAACAGTGAATGGCTTTATTGCCAGAGAGAATTTTCCTTCAGTAACCAAGTGATCAGGTTGGTTCTCTAAGGATTCCTGGTTAAATGGCTAAGTTTCACTTTGCTGCTCTCCAATTTAACTCACCGTTGGTCATTACTGAAAAGCCACCAAGAGCTCTTAGCTGCCATTTTAAGAGAATTTTATATCCTATCTGGATATACTTCCCTTAAGCTTGCAGGAATATCAGTTTCTAAAATGGCTCAGTCCTAGAAATCTCATGAACCATTCTTGTTTAAGTACATTCCTCAAGGGATTTTTTTCCTGGTAGAATCTGGCGACTGATATATTAATTTGTGAGTCTGACTATTTTCCAAGTGCCTCAACCAACAACCAGCACTTCTTGGTGGCATTCAGTATAAAGGGATAGTGAACTATAAGAATGTAGGAGGGAGTCTTCCCCAAAGCAGCAATACAGCACAAGACTTTAAACACTCAAGCTTCTCAGAAACGATAGTGGATAGGATGGAGGGAGAGGTGAGTGAAACAGTAAGTATGCCTCTGTGAAGGACACATTTCTCGGAAAATCAAGCCACACTTTGACTGCAGATAATGTACTGAATTTGGTCCCTGTGTCAGGACACCTCTGTAGTTAACTGGGGAGATAGGAATGCTATATTCCCTTGTCAGGCCCAAAGGAACACGGTACATCAGAAGAATAACGAGAACTGAGAAACCCAGCAGGAGCCTAAAATGAGTATACTGTACAAATGCATATCCTGAACCCTCTCATGTGGGTACACCTAAGTAGCAGCTACTGGCTTACCAGAGTGACTGTGTTTTTTGCCACAATTTGGACAGCCTCTGCCCCAGGCCCAGTGACCTTACTAGACGTCTGGAGGTTGACTGGTGTGTTCTGCACATCAGTGCTGAGCACAGCCTTCTGACTGTTGATGGCGGTCACCATAGCAATGGTAGGTCTCTGGCCCACAACAGAGGCAGGCATGGTCGCAGTTGCTGCTTTCAAGACGAGAGGTAGTGTCTTTGTGGTAATCATAGAAGCTGTAGTTACAGTCTTCTAGGAGACATGGAGAACAGATATTAGGACACAGAAATGTGATCCCACTAAACAATATGCTGCTGAACTCCAGAACAAAACAAAGCAATAATTTTCATAGTCAAGTTCCTCTATATAACCACATTTTTTTGGTGTGTGTACATAGAGCACACTTCTTACTATAGGGAAAGATAATCTTTAGTTTGCTAGAGTTCTTAAACCTGTGTCATTTCTAAGTGGGCAAGTTCAGTGTTATTGACAAAACTAGAATGGCCAGAAGGTTCCCAACAACGAACAGAGTGGGCTTATAGATAAGACTATGAACATACTCATTTCTTCTAGTTTTTCTAATTCTTTGCTTGACATAATTTATATACAACTTGCAAATCAGTGAGGTACACATCATCTCTATTTCTATCTTTAACTGCTACAACCTCACTAATATGAAAGCCATCACAGAATTCTATTTGTCTGCTTCCTGTGACACAAAGTCTAAGGGAAAGGGACAGTGTCTTTTCATTTTTTTGAATGTCACCCTGGAGAGGCAGGAGGGAAACTCACAGGAGGATTAGTACAACTGCTGCCTCAGAAGCAGTAAATCCCAAACTCCAGATAATGAAACATATTAACCAACTAGTAGGGGAAATACCACTTCTTGATACCAAAGGGATGAGTCACTCCTTGTAATCTTTTCTCTGGAGAACTGCTAAAGTGATCAAAGATTCAGTGAAACATAGCAAGGTGGAAACAAACACCTGAGTTTCAAAAAGCCTTGGAGATCAGAGGATGAAGTGAAGGGAGAGGACTTGACTGATGCCTCCTAAGTGCTACGCAGCTCTGAAGCTCCATTTTTCTAGACCTTTACTAGAATAATTACAAGTGACAGTTACAAAACACAAAAACAGAAACAGCCTCATGACTCGGCACATATCTACCTGGTGCTACTAGTCACGATGCAGGCATTTCAGGAATAGGACAAGTTACCTGGTCCAATTTGTTGGTTCTGATACTGCACTCTTTCCTCTTCTATATTTGTATTGCACAACTGGTTGCTATTAGCCACATGTGGCCATTCAAATTTAAATTAAAAAATTAAATTAAGACATCAGTTCTTCATTTGCACAGGCCAAACTTCAAGTGTTCAAAATGTGTCCAGTGGCTACCAACCTGGACAGCGGAGACAGAGCATTTGTAGCACTGCACAAAGTTCTACTGGACAGCACTGTTCCAGACCACTGAAAAGTAAACTTCCTCTTTCTGCAACACACGACTTGGACAACTTCACTCAGGAATTTCTATTTCAGTGTCTATGTAAGTACTTCTGTACTAAGCTGTTTGGTTGTGATTATTTCCCTTTTCTGCCTTATACACACACACACATTTTATTTTCCCAGTCCTGGGGATGAAACCCAAGGGTGCTCTACCACTGAAATACATCCTCAGTCCATCTGTCATTCATCTTTCTTTCCTTTTATTATTATTTTTGTTTGTTTTTTTGAGACAGGGTCTCACTATGTAGTTCAACCTGGCCTTTAACTCACTATATGGCACAGGCTGGCCTCAAACTTGCAGCAATCTTCCTGCCTCAGCCTCCTGAGTGCTGGGATAACAGGCGTGCACCACCATACCTGGGTCCTGGTCCTTTTTATTTTGAGTTATGGTCTAAGTTATTAAAGCTAGCCTCCAACTTGCCATCCTCCTGCCTCAGCCTCCCAAGTAGCTAGGATTACAGGTGTGCACCACTGTATTCAGCTACAAATGCATCGTTTAATGTCTTCTTTTATTTTTTAAACAAAAAAATTTAGTGATATGGCTTCATCTATCCCCATCACAGCCTAACCAGCCATCCTTTTTTTTTTTTTTGGTACTGGGGATCGAACTTGGGCCCTTGCGCTTGCGCAGCAGGCGGCAAAACCACTGAGCTAAATCCCCAGCCCCAGCCATCCTTATTAATGATGTAATTAAAATCACTCTATTTGATTCATCTTCTTTAAGTCAACAATGCAGGAGTAGCCTACTCTTTTTGCCACTGCCTTCTTGAAAGTGTAATGGGGGCCACAGGTCATCCGCTTTCTATCACTGATGAAAACCAAATTAAACTAGCAATTTATCATTAGAACTACTGTAGCAGTAAAATATCAAGGACTGTACCATACCAGCTATTTGTAATAAGAGTTTTAAACCCAGTATGATATTAGCCCTATCTTTCAACTTAAAATGTTTAAATACAAAGAACTTTTTTTCTTTCAGTACTGATGATTGAACCCAGGGCCTATGCACTGAGGTAGCTATCTCCCCAGCCCTCTTTAAAATTTTGAGTCAAAGTCTCACTAAGTTGCTAAATTGAGCAGGCAGGGCTTGAACTTGCGACCTTTCTGCTTGGGTCTTCCAGAGTACTGGGATTATAGCCCTGTGCCACCACGCCTGGCTAAATACAAAGAACTTCTGAAGTTGTGAGCAAACCACACCTGATGGCATTCGATCTTGATACTACCACAGGCTATAGAAATAAAGCCCTCATCTGCAGAATTCAATGACAGGGATTTTAAAAACTGCTGTGCTCGTTGTTACTGCTTTAGAAGAGCTCACAGTACTCTTGTTTGAAACACTCTTGGTTCAAGTAAATCATTATTAATATTTTAAATAATCCTAAACTGATTATTCTAGAAAATACTGAATAAAACCTCAAACCCACCTGGAGTTATATGTTTACCATCAACCCAATGCTTAAATAACACTGAAACCTAACAACTTTATTCACATCTTAGGTTAGCATTTTTATTCTACTTTATAAACATTTAGTTGTGGCTAACTTCACTGCAGGTATTCTACCACTGATATAACTATATAGTACATAAATAAGCACAAAGCCTAGAACTATATGCTTCAATGGAAACTTCTTGAAGAATATATTTACTATTTATATATAAGGCTTACTAAGATTTTACTCCTGGTCTGGGGTCTGTTCCATTCCAAATCTTAGAAAACAGAAAACAAACTCTTGGAGGGTTAAGAGTTCAGATAAGAAAGGGAATCTAGAACTCTGAAATCCAAACATGATGAAATGTTTAAACTGTTCTGTCAGGAGACAAGACAGAAAAGGTGCTCAACAACAAAGAAAATGACTTTTATAGAAGCTGTGATTAACCCTTGGCTAGTTAATGCTGTCCAAACCTGATTTACAAGAGAAGGTAGTTATTCCACAGTTTTAATTTTGTTTTGTTTTGGTACCAGGGATCGAACTCCGGACCTTGTGCTTGTGAGGCAGGCGGCAGAACCACTGAGCTAAATCTCTGGGCGCCCCCCCCCACAGTTTAATTTTTTTTCTAAGTTCTTTTATTGGTGCATTTTAGGTATACAATATGTTTACATTTATCATTGGGTGTTTGTACCTGTCCATGATGTATCTTGGTTCTTATTTTTTCCCCATTACCTGTGCACCCTTCACCCCCTCCACCTTTCCCTATTTACATAGATTTTATTTCCATTTTTCTTTCCTCATAATTTTTCCTTTCCCTTCTTTCCTTTCCCCTTCCCCTCCCACCACCCCTACACCTTTGGACCTTTTTTCCTATTTCAAATTATCAATTATTCATTTTAATCATTTTAACCCTTATTTACACTTTCAGTTTCTCACACTAGAGAAACTATTCCTATTTACACATGTGTGTCCTATTTATTTCACTTAAGGGTATGGCCTCAATATGCATCCATTTAGCTGTAAATGTCTCTAGTTTCTCATTCTTTATGGCTGAGTAGTACTCCATTTTATAAAAAAAACCCACATCTTTATCCAGTTTCCAACTGATGGGCACTTGGGCTGCTTCCAAGCTTTAGCTATTACAAACTCCCATAGTTTAATTTTGACAAAATCTAAATCTCATGAGTAAAAGGTGACACAGAAATACATGGAAAATAACAACAATGGTAAAATCTTTTTATTTTTACTAAGTTATTATTGTTTGTCTGTAAAATATGAAATATTGATTTAAACCATTTTAATGTACCAATCAGAGATTTGAGGATTGTTACTATGGGTTCTAACTAACCTCCACATTTATTTCAGATTGCTTAATTTTGAATAGAAATTCACCATTGTTCACTGAAACAACCACAAATACAAGACTTCTTCCCCTTTGCCTATGAAGATATATTTTGTTTGGTTTTATTAACTGTACTCTTACATTTGTATTTTATCATTAAAAACAATAGCTTGTGAATATAGGTTGAAGGATATGCTTGTACTCACGTGTCCTATTCTCTTTTTCTATAGACTGGAAAAACTTCAAAATACTATACATATAAGATTGAGTTGGAGTTAACTACAGTTAAGTCCCCAACTTACAAAAATTCAAGCTGCAAACTTCGACAGGTGTACTGTATAAAGCTTTGTCAGATACAAATGAATCTGACTTAGGAATGTTCTCCTGGAATGGAATGCATTTGTAAGTTGGGGACTTATTGTACATAAAGGGAACTGTTCTTACCCCTCTCTGCTAAAAGATTTCTTCATTTCTTCCTCCACATCTTGATACATGCTAATCACTCAACTAGCATCTCCTCCAGGCCCACACTGATCACTATTTCATGTTACTCCTTTCTGAAGCTACACATTTCATTACGCCACATATAATCTCCCATTTGTCCTTGTCCTTGTGAACCTTTAATAACTTCTATGCCTGCCAAAATACCCAAGGTTTTGTCCTGCACTGAAGGTGCCCACAACAAGCTAGCCCCATCCTACCTTTTCTGTCCTTCCTCCCTCTCTCATTGGTTTATGGAATCTACACTCCAACCACACCAGCCTACTCCCAAGCCATGCGTTTACTTTTTTTGACTCCATATTTTTGTTCATACTATTTCTATACTTGTGATGGTTTCCCCCTCTGTTTCACCGCTGAAATTCCATTCATCTGCCAGGACCCTGCTCAAATACTGCCTCCTTTGAGAAGCACTCTCTGATGCCTCTAATTAAAAGTATACTATTCTCTTTTCTATTATCTTCACAGCTCTTCACTGGTACTTTTATTTTACTCCTGTTAGCAGTTTGCATCTTCTCCTTTCTTTCTAAATTTTTTAATTCTTGAAAACAGAAACTCTGTCTTGGGAATCTATTCCTCATATTGCCTAGCAAAGTACCTGCACATAGTAAGGACACAAATATTTCCAGAATGGATTAAAACGAATTAACATAATATACCAGATTCTTGGCAAGGATCACTGTTCTTTTTTTTTTTTTTGTACCGGGGATTTAACTCAGGACCTTGCGCTTTTGAGGCAGGCGGCAGAACCACTGACCTAAATCCCCAGGCCACCACTGTTCTTTATATAGTAGAACCTAGCACACTGACAGCGGTCAATAAATACTGAATGACAGTTTACTGTAAAGATACAACAAAACCCAAAGGATCCTTCAGGTTTTAACATTAAATCTTTGCACTAAATAAAGCAATATATAACAAAGGTTAGCTCTATCAATTAAATATATCAGGTGGGCTTCTAGAGGAAGAGATGCCACACAGCACGTTTTGGGGATAACGTTGGGCGCCTGCCTCACTGTCCACCACCCCAAAGCAGCACAGAACTCTAGTGGTTAGGGAAGGGAACGGTTATTGTAAGCATTTTATAAATATTTCCTGACCTGTATAACATGAACCACTACTTGAACAAAAAGTGTTCATGGATTAAAATAGAAAACACCTCTGTAGCAAGAAACAATAAATGCTGCCACACTCCTTCCATAGAAATACTTTCTGATCCATCTGTACTTTGGAAAGAGAACAACTTAACCCAACTCCGTTTAAAACTCCAACAAAAGTAATCCTATAAGCAATCTTTCAGAAGCAATACAAGTCTTGGTCAGGGGATTTTTAAAAGTCAGATTTAATGTCTAATTTCCAAGTAGTTTTGGGCTAAAGACTAGGGTAAGAATTCCATTCACTGCTCCAGCTATCTGATTTACAACAGAGGTTTTGTCTTTCCACCTTTGGTTTGTTGCAATGTTTGCATTTCCTGTTTAGTACTGTATGATGATGAACGGACAGGTTTTTTAACCAGGAATCTTAGCTCTAGTACATACTAGCTGTATGATCTTAGGTAAGTTACTTAACCTTTTTGTGCCTTGCATGTGCTCTTCTAAAAAATAAAAGACAGTAATATTTTCCTCATACAATTAGGGCAAGGAAATGTGTCCATTACACATGTACAGCACTTAGGAGGTGCTGGTATATAGTAACCACTATTAAATGCTGTCACTTCTAAAAATGTACACAAACCAGTCCAATGTCTGTGAACAATGAATAGCTGAACAAAATATAATCTTTTCCTCTACATAATGAAGGCTTGGGTGTGTAGGAGGAATCCATACTTAGTTTTCAGAAGATCCCATAGTCCTTGAAATATGTAAAAACTGTAAGTGTATTATGTGTGAATATGTATTTTTATAGGGAGGGGTCTATAACTTTGAACAGTCTTAAAAGGACCTGTGATCCATAAGCATCGAGAATCACTGTTCACTAGTCCCATTAGTATGTGGAGATCATGCTTGAATAGTTTTTTTGGCTAAATGACATTTCCAAATATGCCCGTCTGTGTAACTTGATTGTCTCACTATCCTTACACTAGTTTAAATGTCCTTTTCAGTAAAAACATTTGTACAGCTAAACCAAGTTAGAATATTATTTATTAAGCTGCCACTTCTTAGTTCTAGTTTTGACCTGTAGCTCTCTCTTTTTTTTTGGTTTTTTGAGACACAGTCTCGCTGTGTAGACCAGGCTGGCTTTGAACTCACTATGTAGCCCAAGCTGGCCTCCAACTTGCAGTGATCTTCCTGCCTCACCCTCCCAAGTGCTGGGGTTACAGGTGTGTGCCACTATGCCTGGCTCATAGCTCTCTTTTGAGATTTCTATCAGTATATCAGAATAGATTCATATTCTTGAGACTATGGACTTAAAAATGAATATTCTGTTTTTAGGAATAAAAAAACCAGAATATCTCTTTCTACCTGGCCCTAGGACCAATAACCCTGGAATAGCTCCATTCCTAATTGCTAAGAATTCCAGAAAAATAATTCCAGAAGAGTTCAAGTGCCATAGACTTTTAGAACAAGTATAAATAAGTAATTCCAGACATTCAAAATAAGACTTTAATTCACTGGATTATACCGAAGTGATTTTCTTTTGTCACTGACTACCTTTCCTTCCTTCTCTGGACAGGTGGAAAGTTAATTTTGTTCCATTGTAATGTTCCTTCTTTCTGGCAGTGAATTTCAAGAGATTTCTACCCTAGTTATAGTTTAAAAAGAACAAACCAACCAACCAGAAAAACTTTTGTTTAGCACTGAGCTCAGGACAGCTGAATCGGGACCCAGTTCTATGTGACCAGCATGCAGCATGCCACTTGAACTTTACCTGTGAAGCGGTCAAGGTGGGCGAAGGTGCAGCTGACTGCTGGGCGTGGTGGTGGTGATACTGCTGCTGTTGCTGTAGTTGCTGGAGTGGTTGCTGCTGTGCTGTTTGTAGTTTGTTTTCAGATTGTGGCAATGGCTGTATTTGGAACTTGTCTGGTTGTTCTTGCTTTACTATCAGGTTCTTCCGTAGCTGTTCAACTACTCTTTTCTACCAAGTGGAGACAAAAAAGAAATAAAATCTATCAGAGTGCTGTTTCATCAGCTGCATGAAAATGTGCAGCAATTATATTCCTCTGACATCTTTTTTGTTAACTAGCTTCATCTAAAACTTGTTACAGACAAAATTTATACAGAACTTATCAGACATTACTGTAAATATGAAATCAATGGCGTAAGAAATGTTTTATACAAAAGGGAAATTGGAGCATACAGATGAAAAAGTAAAGAGAGACCACTCAGCTGAACTCCTATGTCCTGACCATTATCAGCTTAGCATGCTAGGCTGGAAGGGCAGAAGAACACGACAGGAAGAGGACAATTCTATAGTTTATACTGCTTCAATTAAAAGTTCATTCTATATTCTTACCAGCTACATGATATTGGGCAAGTGTCTTAGCCTACCTGGAATTCAATGTCCTGGTCTGCAAAATGAGGTGGCTGACAATATCCTTAGGGTTCTCTTGAGTAGCAAAGTCAGCTTATGTATACAAGGACATCTCAGTGCACCAATGCTTCTGTTTGCAAACAATTTGGTTTGCAAACAAAAGCCTTCGGCAAAATTTTGCTTCTGTTCACAAATTTTGCATCGGGTGACAAACATGACCATGGCTACCTTCCCTGCACAAACACAATTGCAGCCATCTTCCCCTAAATCATAAAATAAATGAACTGAGGCACCACTGTATCTGTATATACAAATACAGTACCCAGAACTGTGATTGGCACATTACTGTTGGTCATTATTATTTGTATGCCCTATAACATAGATACCAAGCCATACTAATCTATATTAATCTATCCCAGTTTGAAACATTAAACAATGAAACCTTGATCCCAGTAATACGAAAAATAAACAACAAACATTTTAAATTACTGACATGTTTAACTCTTGAGCAGAAGCTCTTTGCTGGGTTAGAATCTGTGGAAATGTGCATATGTGCTTAGGCAGAATAGGGAGCTGTCTACATGGGACAAAAATTTAAGTTAAGGTTTCTTAAACTTTCTGGAAGTTCTTGTTCAAATCCCCCCCCCCAAAGGCGTGTTTTTGGATACCTTTATTACTCTAGTGACCCCTGTGGTCCTCCGTCTCCCTTGCTTTTTTTTCAGTGCTGAGGACTGAACCCAGAACCTTGCATGTGCCAGGCAAGTGCCCTGTCACTGAGCTACATCCCCAGGCACTATCATAATACATTCCAACAGGAAGTGAGCACCACCACGGACTTCTTCTGTTCGCAACTGTACTCTGCACTGAGACCTATGCTGCTGAATAAATGTCCTCGCTCTTTTCAGAGGGTGAACAATGTGATGTGACTTAAGAGCAGCAAATGGCTCAGAGATGTTTACTGTAATAACTGGGCTCAGACCCCAGGAAGGGCTGGAAGAAAGAATAAGCATCACTCCTCTCATACAGTTTCTTTTCTAAAAAGTTTTTACTTAGTATATGTTTACAATACATAATGCTCACATTCTTTGTGGGGAGTTGGTACATGTACACAACACATCTTAATTCTTTCTTTTCATCCTCTTCCCCTCCCCGGCATCTCTCGATTCCTTTCCCATTCAAGAAAGATCTATCTCCCTGCTTTCTATTATCTAACTTTTATTTTGCTCTTTATTTATATTTTGGGTTTCTCATATAAGAGAAACCGTGTGATATTTAAGCTTGTGTGTCTGATTTATTTCACTTAACATTATGTTCTCAATGTACATCTGTTTTCCTACAAATGACTCAAGTCCTCTTTATGGCAGAATAGTATTCCATTGTGTGTAAATCCCACAATTTCTTTGTCCATTCATCTGCTGGTGGATATATATAGGCTGTTTTCAAGATTTAGCTATTATGAATGATGCTGCTATAAACATGTGAGGCACGCTATTTCTGATAACAAAAGATTGCTATTTTCTAACATAGATTATGAATGAAGAAAAAGAAATTTGGTGCTAGTTAAGTTCAGCATAGATTATTTTTCTGGGGTTTTTTTTGGTACTGGGGATTGAAATTGGGACCCTGCACTTGCGAGGCTGGCGGTGGAACCACTGAGCTAAATTCCAGGCCCGGGGAGAAGGGGGGTTATTTTTGAGACAGGGTCTCACTATGTAGTTCAGGCTGGGTTGGAACTCACTATGTAGCCCAGGCTGGCCTTGAACTCACAGTGATCCTCCTGCCTTAGCCTCCTGAGTGCTGGGATTACAGGCATGTGCCACCATACCTGGCGGCATAGATCTTTAAATAAAGAGTTAAGCGAAACCATAAGCACAAGATTATCTTTTAAATTCCTGCTCTGGCTCTAACCAACTTCATCACCCAAATTCTCTAAAGAATCCAAACCCGCAGGCTGCTTAACATATCTGAACATTAAATATTTACAAAATGGATTTTAAAAACCTTAAGTCAATACAAAATATATATATATTTTTTTGTCCTGGGGATCGAACTCAGGACCTTGCGCTTGCGAGGCAGGCGGCAGAACCACTGAGCTAAATCCCCAGGCCTACAAAATATATTCTTGAGTTTTTACATTTTTATTATTGATTGTTTTTTAGACAACAAAAGTACCCCATAAAGGCCAGTTTTGGGGGAGCAAAACTGATTCTGCTACACATTATACTCTGCTAGCACTACCTCTTTGAGTAAATATTTTTTTAAAATGCAGAGTCTAAAGTCTTTGCAGAAACCATCTGCAGAGTAATAAAAATGCAAATTAATAAAATATCAAATGCTTATAAAAATTAACTTACAACTCTTCAAAACTATTTCTCAAGTACAAAAGGCAGAGAAATTGAACTGCTGTGGGTTGCAAGGAAGGGAAGAACTAGGAGTGGTGCTACAGATAGTTCTGAGTATCATGTGTAGATTTTATTGCTTGGTGCCTACCAGGATATTCAGATGTTTAAAAATTAAATAATTATTTACAGTTGCTTTTAGTCTGGCTCCCCAACAGACATCAAACGTATTGATAAACTAGCTAAAGTGCAGCATTAGGGCAGAAAGGAATTCCCAAAAACTCTTACAAAAAATGGAGGAGAAGGCAGGTGTGGTAACAAGTGCATGCCTGTAACCTCAGCACTCTGGGAGGACAAGGGAGGAAGAACACAAGTTCAAGTCCAGCCTAGGCAACTTAGCAACTTCACAAGACACTTTCTCAAAATTAAAAATAAAAAAAGGCTGGGGATGTAGATCAGTGTGAAGGCCATGGATTCAATCCCTAGTACTGCAAAAAGAAAAACAAAAGAAAGTAAACAAAACCAAAAATCAAACCATAGAAAACCCAACATAACAAAAAATAGTACAGGAAACAAATTAGTCACTATAGAGTATTAGGTACAAAAGGACAGGGTGTTTTTCTCCTCTACAGTCATCCTTAAAAAAATGCAGTATGCCAGGTATAGTGGTACATGCCTGTAATCCCAAGCAATCAGGAGGCTGAAGCAGGAAGATCATGAGTTTGAGGCCAGTCTGGTATATATATAGTGAGGCCCTGTCTCAAAAAAGCCAAAACAGGGCCGGGGATTTAGCTCAGTGGTTCCAGCGCCTGCCTCACAAGCACAAGGTCCTGAGTTCGATCCCCGGTACCAAAGAAAACTAAAGTCAAAACAAAAACAAAAAACCCTACCCCCAAACAAAGCAAAACCACAATACCAAACCAAAGCAACAACTGTAACAAAACAGTATATTCTACTTACTGCCTAACTGAAGTACACTAGAAGGAAGAGACAAGCCTAGAACCTACTGCCAGTGTTATATACAACAGCAGTGAACAGGTGCAGGCTAGAGAAGGTGGCGGCCAATCAGAACTAAATGTGAGAGCGGGTGTCAAGTTTGTCACACCGCATTCACAACTGTTCCACCCCAGGGCCTGAAACAAAGCCCCAGAAGCTTGCAGATGGCAAGGAAAACCAAGATCCAAATACTTGCAAACTGAAGAACCGCTCAGAGACCATCGCCCCCTTGCTGTGCTCCCCATAAGATGAGAGCAGCTGTGTGTGTCCTCGGGTGCCTGTGGCATTTTTAAAAACATCAAGGTTTGGGCTGGGGATTTAGCTCAGTGGTTTTGCCTCCTGCTGCGCAAGCGCATGGACCCGAGTTCAATCCCTGGTACCAAAAAAACCCAACAACAAAAAAGGTTTGGCAGAAGCAGGGTTGCTTTCCATCACTTAAATACATGTAGGTACAGTCAGAAAACCAAGGTGGAAAACAGAGTGGCCTCAGCAGTGGAAGGGTTCCAGGGCCCGGCTAGCAGAGGACAGTGCCATGCAACAGCAGGCTGCTACGTCCCACAGCCAGCCTCACTCTAGTTTAGCCGCGCCACTCCAGCAAACACAGTACTCAAATCACTTCAGAGGGACCTAGATCTGGGTCAGCAGCAGTTGAGGGTGGCAGGGAGAGAAGGCAGTCATAGTATTTCTAAGTCCTAGACACGTGGGATCAAGCAGAGCCCTCCACGGCCCCCGTACAGAGGACACCCTCTCGTCTCCACAGATGGAACACACGTTTCCTATTATGCGTTTTAAACAAAGAAATCATGACTTCTGCTGGTCATTAATGAGAATACACTGGCATTACCAACTTGATATTTTCAATGGTACTCACACAGGAGATCTTTAAATGTGGCCAACTGTCTTAGAACATTAATCTAAGGTGTTGAGAAAAGGCTAAATTTTACAACCTGATCATTCAACATTCACTAATCCATTAATAAAAGTTAAAAGACCAGGGTGGGGGGAGCCAAGTAAGTGAAAAAAGAAAAGCTAGAAAGAATGACTGCAGCAGGGAGGGAGAAGAAGTGAACAACTCAGCCTCTTCTTTCCTAATGTATTTACTATAAACAACAGGCCAGGGGCAGGCGGCTAGTCTCGCCCTCTTCAATCCACCTGGCAAGCAAGAGCTGCTCCATAAACTACCCAGACCATGAGATGGAGCCTCACACTCCCCTGACGCTCATATCACTGGGTTTCACCAGGGCTTGTTCAGGTGGAAGAGTTCACTGC